TAGTAGTAGTAGTAGTAGTAGTAGTAGTAGTAGTATCAGTAGTGATTGTAGTCAGTAGTAGTAGTAGTAGTAGTAGTAGTAGTAGTAGTAGTAGTAGTAGTAGTAGTAGTAGTAGTAGTAGTAGTAGTAGTAGTAGTAGTAGTAGTAGTAGTAGTAGTAGTAGTAGTAGTAGTAGTAGTAGTAGTAGTAGTAGTAGTAGTAGTAGTAGTAGTAGTAGGTAGTAGTAGTAGTAGTAGTAGTAGTAGTAGTAGTAGTAGTAGTAGTAGTAGTAGTAGTAGTAGTAGAAGTAGAAGTAGAAGTAGAAGTAGTAGTAGAAGTAGTAGTCGTCGTAGTAAGGCCACCCTTCCTCTGTGGGCGGAAGCGTCCCGCCCATCTATGACCATGGCCTGTACTTGTGTAAGGCCGGTGATCTTGGTATATGGGAGCCGAATCCACATTACGAGAAAGGCACACTTGGTTTATGGCTGGGTTCACATGCGCCAAACGATTTTCAAACTATTCCTTCGGTAGCGTTTCGCGTTTCTCATAATGCCCCCCAGAAGCGTGTCGGAGCCCCTGGTGCGCAATTCGGGTTCCTGCTGGATTTCTTCGCGATTCCCGGCGGGGCCGTTCGGATTTTGATTCGTCGCGGCAAGGCTTGAAGATTATTCAGGAATCCTGAATCCTGAGGCATCCTGAGGACGCCCGAGGAATCCAACGGAAATCCTGAAGAATCTGGAGCCTCTTTGAGGAATCCAGAAGGCTCTCCAGAATTCGTAGAATCGTGCACGTTTCCTAGAAAGTCTTCTGGGAGCTTCCGAGGGGCCTTTCAACCTTTGCGAGGGCTTCCGAGCGGCTTCTACGCGGTCCCGAGCGGCTTATACGGGCTGCCGCAAGGCCATTGAGAGCTTCCGCGAAGCCTCTGCGAGCCTCTGCGAGAGCCTGAGAATTCCGGAAGAGGTTTTTCAAATCCCGAGGAGGTTTCTCAATGCTTCCGAAAGGCTGTTGAGACACCCCGACAAGCCTCTGAGAGCTTCCCAGAAGTCGCTGAACATTTCCGAGAGGCCCTGGGAGCTCTCGAGAGGGCCTGAGAGTTCCCGAAAAGGGGCCTCTGTGAGCTTCCGAAGAGGTATCTGAGACGTCCCCGAAAATCTCCGAGAGATCTCTGGAAGCTCCCGAGAGGCCTCTGAGATTTCCCGAGAGGCCTCTAAGAACGTCCGAGAGGCCTTTGAGATTTCCCAAGACCCCGTCTGAATGCGTCCGAGAGGCTTCTGGTAGTTCCCGAGAGGTTCTTCGGGGCTTCTGAGAACGCCCGATCGGCTTCGGAGAGCTCCGAGGGAGATTTCAGCTTCCGAGAGGCCTCTGGGATTCCCCGAGAGGGTTCTGCGCGCGTCCGAGAGGCCTCAGAGAGCTCCCGCGAGGCCTCATAGCATTCTTTTAATGTCCCGAGAGGCCTTTGGGAATTCCATGGAGGCTTCTGGGAGCTCCCGAGAGGCCCCTGGGAGCTGCCGGGAGGCTTCTGAGGGCCTCTGGTGGGGGCGCTGAGAGCTTGTGGGGCCGTGTAGAGGGCCCTCGGGGCCGTCTTCTACACGTCTCGGGGACTTCGTGCGGCGTTTCGACAGTCTCTTGGACCTTTTTAAAAACCGTTATCCGAAACTGCAGGGTCATATTTGACGCTTGCCAAAACGGGAAGTCCTCGGTGCGTAAATGAGACATATGCCCAACGTGGTGTGTTCATTCGGGCCCGTCGGGGCCCTCTTGGGTGGGCCACTGGGGTCCTCGCGGGCAGTCGTGGGGGCATATTGGGGCGCAGTGGGCGAGGGGCCGGGATGATGATGGCCGCGGCGATGGCGACGATGGGCTTGATGATGGCAATCGGGCAGAAAGACGGGTGTCTCGGGGAAGTTCTGTTCTTGTCTTTGTACCGCTTGATACGGGCAGCCCCCGTGTCAATCAATGCCCCTGCCTGATTGGCCCGTGGGAAGGCTCAGACCAACCCTGCCATCATGGAACTAGGAGTCGCCGTGTTCGTCGGCTTCGTCGTCGTCGTCGCCGTCGCCGCCTCTTCCGCCGTGACCGCCGCCGCCGTCGTCGTCGTCGTTGCCGTCGTCGTCGTTCGTCGTCGTTCGTCGTCGTCGTCGTCGTCGTCGCCGTCGTCGTCGTCGTCGTAGTCGCCGCCCTCGCCGTCGTCGTCTTGGTCGTCGTCGTCGTCTTCGTCGTCAGGGGGTCTCCGAAGGTCTGCGTGGCTCTCCAGAGGTCCACAAGGACCAACAGCCTCGATCCTCGATCTTTGATCCCTGATCCTCGCCGCTGCCGCCGCCGCCCCCGTCTTTCGTCGTCGTCGTCGTCGTCGTTCGCAGCACGCTCCAGGCGCGGACCACAACGCTGGCGGCGTCCTGCTGGGCCTGGCGCTCGTGCAGGACTGGCGCGGCCACCGCAGCGGCGGACCCTGGCCGCGGCCACGGTGGGGCCCCCGAGGCCCCGGGTCATTGTCGCAGCGGCGCAGAGGGGGCGGTCAGCCGAGGAGCGAGCGCGTCTGCCTTGCCCCGCCGCCCGCCAAACGAATACCCGCCTTGGGTAGTAAAGCGCGACAGCTTCCGCCCGTTTTGGATTGAACGCGTATCGGCGAACAGTGCCCCACAGTGCCCAATAGCGCCAGATGGAGCGCAGTAGCGCCAAGTAGCGCCGAAAGGCGTTCAAGCAGGGTTCCACAGCGACCATCAGTGCCCAAAAGCGCCATGCTAGGGATATGCATTCTGTCCGGCTTCCGCGCTATTGGGCGCGCTATCGGGGCCGACCAGCAGCTCCTGTGAGCTGAGGCCACTCGGGCGGAGGAATGGGGCACAGGGGGTGGACGGGGGTGGAGGTGGGGAGGTGGAGGGAGGAGGACGAGGGGAAGGAGCGGGGGGGTGGCAGGGATGAAATGGGGGAGGGGGGGCAGGATGAGGGAAGAGTAGGAGGATATTAACGACGACGGAGACGATGCCGATGACGATGACGATGATGACGACGACGGCGACGATGACGATGATGCTGATGATGATGATGACGATGATGGTCATGGTGATGGTGATGGTGATGGTGATGGTGATGGTGGTAATGATGATGCTGCTGGTGATGATAATGCTGCTGATGATGATGATGATGATGATGATGATGATGATGATGATGATGATGATGATGATGATGATGATGATGATGATGATGATGTTGAGGATGATGATGATGGCGACGACGATGATACTGCTGATGCTGCTGATGCCGACGACGACGATAACGATGACGACGACGATGATCATGATGTTAATGGTGATGTTGATGGTGATGGTGATGGTGATAAGGATGATGCTGATGATGATAATCATGATGAGGTTGATGCTGATGATTATGATGAGGACGATGCAGATGATGACGATGATGATGCTGATGATTATACTGATTGTGGCGGTGGTGGTACAGATGATGATGATGCTGATGATGCTGATGATGATGTTGATGTTGATGATGGTGGTGGTGGTGGTGATGATGTGCTGCTGCTGCTGACGCTGCTACTGATGATGATGATGATGATGCTGATGATGATGATGATGACGATGATGCTGATGCTGATTCTGATGCTGATGCTGATAATGATGCTGCTGCGGATGATGATGATGATGATGATGATGATGATGATGATGATGATGATGATGATGAGGACAATGCTGATGATGGTGATGATCATGATGTTGTTGGTGATGATGATGATGATGCTGATGATGATGATGATGATGATGATGGTGGTGGTGGTGGTGGTGATGATGATACTGATTAAGCTGATTATGATGATGATACTGATACTGCTGCTGCTGCTGATGATGATGATGCTGCTGCTGCTGCTGATGATGATGATGATGATGATGATGATGATGATGATGATGATGATGATGATGATGATGATGATGGTGGTGCTGTTGTTAATGATGATGATGCTGAGTTGATGATGGTGATTATGATGATGCTGATGATGATTATACAAAAGGGCTTCGCCCCCTGCCGCTGGCCCCCTTTCAATCAGAATGGGGTATGCCAGAGCTATGTTGTATTTTCTCAGCGCCGTCGTGAAACAATGTCGGAATCTCGTGCTGGGGCAATCGGCAAGTGGCATATTGTATTTATTAGGTTGTATAGCCTCGGGGACGCGAATATTGCGCAATTTACGAAGGCTTGTGCGAGCATCGCGTAATTTACGAGGGTGCATCACTTAGTAATTTACGTGGGTTTATGGTCTCGGGGGCGGAATTTACGAATGTTTATGGTTTCGGGGACGCGAATGTAGCGTACTTTTTATATACTTGACGAATGTTTTTCCCCGGAGAGGGCAGAGGCCCAGGGTTTTCTTTTAGTATTGTTACCCACGGTTTCGACTTTAAGGACGGCGAAATTATTTTGCGATCAATAATGAGTTTGAAGGAGGCCGGCGGATTTTTTTGAGGACATCTCATGCGAAACGCTTGTTTTTTCAGAATTTGTTGAGGATGTCTCGAGCGAAACGCTGGTTTTGCAGAGTTGGGGGATGCCTCGAGCGGGGGCCTCGTGGGGGGCCAGAATTCAGAGGAAGTCTCAGTCGAAGTGCTTGTTTTCACGTCCCGCTCGCAGGAATTCCGAGGATGTCTCGCGCGTGCCGCGTCCCGCGCGCAGGAATTTCGAGGATGCCTCGACTAATTCGTTTGTTTTTCCAGGATTTCCTTGGCCACACAGGGGTGTATCTACCATGTTCTTCTCGAGCTGGAACCACCTCGCTTCACGTGTACAGGGCACTCAGGTTGGTATCTAACATGGTGGTCCCGAGCTGGTACCACGTTTTCCCGTGTCCTGGCCACACAGGTGGGTATCTAACATGGTGGTCCCGCGCTGGAGCCACGTGTTTTCACGTGTACAGGCCACCCAGGTGGGTATCTAACATGTTGGTCCCGAGCTGGAACCACGTGTTTCACCTGTCGAGGCCACCCAGGGGGTGTCTAAGATGGTGGTCCCGCGCTGGAACCAAGTGTTTTCACGTGCCCAGGTCGCCCAGAGGGTGTATCTAACGTGGTGGCCCCGCGCTGGAACCGCGTGCTTTTAGGTGTCCAAGCCATCCATGAGGTATCTAACATGGTGGTCCCGAGCTGGAACCACGTGTTTTCACGTGCCCAGGCCACCCAGGGGATATCTAACATGGTGGTCCCTATCTGGAACTACGTGTTTTCACGTGTACAGGCCACCCAGGTGAGTATCTGATATGGTGGTCCTGAGCTGGAACCGTGTGTTTTCACGTGTCCACGCCACCCAGGGGGGTATCTAACATGGTGGTCCCGAGCTGGAACCATGTTTCTTCACGTGTCCAGGCCACTCGGGGGTATCGAACATGGGCCTCCTGGATCCTTCCTGGGACTCGGAACGGAACGTCGAGAGTTCATTTGTATGTGGTGCCGATTCGTTTTTTTTTTTTGCTTCCAGGCGCCTCCGGGCGTTCTTGGGCCCTCCTGCGCTCCAGACTACCGCATGTTAGGTATCCCCCCCCCCTGGGTGGGCTGGACCACGTGTTTTTACCTGTGCAGGCCACCCAGGGGGTATCTAACATGGTGGTCCCGAGCTGGAACCATATGTTTTTACGTATCCAGGCCCCCCAGGGGGGCACCATGTGTTTTTAGATGTCCAGGCCATCCAGGGGGATATCTAACATGGTTGCCCCGAGCAAGGACCACGCATTTTAACGTTCCGTAGCGCGTCCCCTCGACACGTCCCGCGGTGCGTCCCCGTGGCACGTCCCCTGGCACGTCGCCAGGCGCGTCCTTTGGGACGCTCGGCGGCGCGTCCTCCTGGCATGTTCGCCTGTCAATTAGCTCTGGGGCAGTTACTATGTGCTGAGGCAGCTCGAGCTTAAGATCCAGATCAGTTCGGTCAGGACTCGGATGCAAATGAGGATTCGATCCACAACGCTATAAAGCACAATCGCGGCATGGCACATCGCAATTCAGGGCGGCGCTGCACAGCACAGCCCTCGGCACGGTACATCAAGATCGATACTTTCAGCATTGCAACTTGGCACGTTCCGTGGCGCGTCCCGTGGCGAGTCCCCTGGCACGTCGCGCGGCGCGTCCCCTGGCACGTCCCGTGGCACGTCCATTGGCACGTTCCGTAGCGCGTCCCCTCGGTACGTCCCGCGGTGCGTCCCCGTGGCACGTCCCCTGGCACGTCGCCTGGCACGTCCCTTCGGACGTTCCACGGCGCGTCCTCCTGGCATGTGCCCCTGTCAATTAGCTCTGGGGCAGCTACTATGTGCTGAGGCAGCTCGAGCTTAAGATCCAGATCAGTTCGGTCAGGATTCGGATGCACAGGAGGACTCGATCCACAACGCATAAAGCACAATCGCGGCATGGCACATCGCAATTCAGCGCGGCGCTGCACAGCACAGCCCTCGGCACGGTACATCAAGATCGATACACTCAGCATTGCGGTTGCCCGTCACCCAATCAGGTGTCTTTGAAACGTTCCCATGTCTTACATGTCTATATTCCTTTCCGGGTTCGTGGGTCGATCATGTTTGTTTCGGAGACGCGACTTTAGTGTATTTTACAAAGGTTTATTGCTTCGGATACGCGACTAGCGCGTACATTGCGATAGTTTATGGCTTCGGGGTCGCAGCTATAGAGTAACTTACACAGGTTTATGGCTTCGGAGACGCGAATCTTGCATCATTGAAAAATGGGTTTATGGCTTCGGACACGCGATTCTGAAGTAAGTTATGAGGTTTATCGCTTCGGGGTCGCAAATATTGCGTCAGTTACGCAAGTTGATGGATTCGGAGACGCGAGTACAGCGTAATTTGCGAGGGTTTCTGGCTGCGGGGACGCGCATACTATGTGATTTACGAGCGTTTGTTGCCTCGGGGATGCACGCATCGCGTACATTACGAGGGTTTCTGGTTTCAGGGACACGAATATAGCGTAGTTTGCGAGGGTTTCTGATTTCGGGGACGCGAATATGTTGTAATATGCGATGGTTTATGGCCTCGGGGACGCGAACATTGGATACTTTACGAGGGTTTCTGGCCTCGGGGGCGCGACTTCAAGTATTTTTACGTTTCCCATGCCCACCCCAGGAATTCAGAGCACGCGATTCGGGCGTGATAGCTAGGTTCCTTCTCGGCTGCCCCCCCTCGCGCGGACAGAATTTACAGTAGGAAGCATAACGCAATCCTGTAACAGTGGAAACTGGAACCTGCAACTGGTGCAGGGAGCAGCAAACCCTAGCCCTACAGCCTGGTGGCGGTGCGACGACGCCGAACGAAAATGGTCGCGGCGGAGGGAGCGGTGCGCTGGGCTGCCGGGGAAGGGGAGGGGCGGGAGGGGGGAGATGGCGGTGCGCCAGGGGAGGGGGGGCGGTGCGACGACGCCGA